CCAAAAGATCTAAAATATTTACCTAACTAGCCCTTTATTGACAAAGTTTGCTGACTCTTGGTCTATGAGACAATAATGGTAGACAGGAATGTTGGCATGCCTCTAAATATACCAGGAGATACACCAAGGAGCCAAAGAAGGTTTTGAATGGAGGAGGAAACCAATTTATGCAACTCTCTCTGCTTTCTGAAGAATCACCTGGTCTTGCAGATGTTTGTTAAATCAACAAATGAACAAAAATTTTCATATTCCTAAGCCCACTTTTGCTTTATATGTTGTTGCTCTTGAAAAGAATGAAAGGCATGCCCCTTTACTTTTAGGTGGTACATTTTAACCTCATACAGGTATGGTGAACAGCTCTCACACCTTCTGGCATTGTTGGACACAGAACATTACTTTGGGTTTGGGGGCTACTCTAGGATGTATTTGGGTGAGTTCTCCTTGAACCTTTCTTCTTTGGTTGCATGGCATAGTTCTACCTTTCCTCCAACAGATATGAAAAGTAAGAGTTTGACAGAAAGAATCAGCTGGAATTTCTAGCTATCTCCAGAAGGTTTGTGAGGGCAAACCCATTAAAGAAGAAAAAAATAGTTAAAAAACAAAAACACAACAAACTTCAGAGGAAGACCCATCAGATCTACCATGAAATCCACCATGAATGGATTTCAAATACCAAATTTCCACTCTAATATTTTAGGGCAGCATGTCACCATGCTTCAATATGAGGCAAAATCTAAGAAGAATGTAAAGAAGCACACATAGGAAGGAATTCACAATAAAAAGAAAATAAATTCCAGGAATCGTGGTGAAGAAATACCAGATTCAATTAATAATGGAACCTTCAATAGTCCTGGAGAAATTCGATACAAACCAAATTCAAATGACACGCCAGTGCTTCCAGCCATATTTACTTTTCAATCGATTATTTTTTTTTTTTGAAAAAACCTTAGGGGGAAATTCTATAAGAAAAGCAAAATCTGGTTGAAGCCTACATTCTGCTAGGTAATGAAAATTAGGTAAACAACATTAATTTCACATTTTTCTCTTTGAGTTAAAAACAGATTATCTCTTTTTTTCTTTTTTTGGTTCATTTGAAATAAATAAAAACTAAGAGAAAGACTGGAATTTCACATGGAAAGGGTAGAGTTGAGATGAAGGTTGAACATTACAGAATGAGAAAAAACATATCTAAGAATGAAATTTTAAATCATGCATAACTTGTCTTGGAGTTCATCCCAGATAAGTATCAGTATCAGGGGTAATGATGAATTCTGGATCAGAATTGTGTAAAGCTTTGAAAAAGCAGTAAGTGCAAGTTTGGAGAATGCAAATGGATGACATTTTGCAATGGTGTACTATCCAAAATGGAAGGAAATGAAACTTAACACCACCAGTCAATATATTCTAAATATCCAGTGAAAAAGCATAGCCATAGACAAATTTGGACACAGAATATAGATACACATGCACATATGCTTTAGAATGTGACTAAGTTCCTAGGTCAAAATTGTAGCAGTGCAATGATTTCTACAAAAAAAATTATTTCCTATTCTGGCTTAGAAAGTAGAAAAATGACTTTCCCATAACATTGTCTAATGGATCTTCCAGTCACAGTCTCCTGTGGAAACATAATTTTTGTAGTAAATGACAAGAAGAGTTTTATAATATCTGGAATTCATTTAAATCTTTAGATTGGAAAAATTGAGATCCAATTAAAACCTTAATAAATGAGTCTGTGTTGAATATAAATATATTAAATTAATATATGTGCAAGATGAAATTGAAAAAGCTATGGGAGTCTGCATTTTAATTCTATTTCTGTCAGGAAACTCTACGTTATAACCCTGAGAATTACTTGGTAATGGCCTATTTACAATGAAGCAAAACTGAATTTAAATAGGACATTTTAGTCCATGCCTTGTCATAACTCATGCGGTCTCAGTGTATGACATGTTGAGATCTCATTGGTGAAAGACCTGAGAGGAGGTCGAAGAACAAATTGGAGCTCACAAGAGCCCTGGAAGCCTGAAGTGTGACAGTGTCAGCCCCCATGGATTTCCTATGAGGGAAGCAAGGGCTGGCAGTCTGCTACATGGCAGGTCCCACGTACAGGTGAGTCTTTGGTGGGAGGTAACATTCATGGATGGCCAGGATATCAGCTTGGTTGTATAGGAAGCCTGATAGGACATGAAGTGTCACTGTTAAGTAGTGTTGGTGAGAAAGGATGCTCTGAACCAACTCCACAGACACAAGTTTTATGGACTCCACCCCTGCTCCAGACCAAAGAGATCCAGGACACCAAGGACTACAAATCCCATAATGTCATCATCACCGAAGTGGGGATTGCTGAGAACTTAGAGTGGAGTGAAGCAGTCAGGTTTGCTATATAATCAGACGCGCGGGCCTTGGGCGTCACTTGGCTGTTGGCTTTTTGCCGGCTCTCAGTGTGCTATTGGGGATTACAGCTCAGCAGAACTGGTAGGATGCATTCACCAATTTACGTCTTTCTCTTTCTCCCTAAGTTATTTTTTTCTTCATTTCCTCTTCTTTTGTAAGTAAATCCTCTATTAATCTTTTTTTGTGTGTGCCTGCTGTTAAGTCAGTTTTTGTTTGTTTTCTTTTAAGATTTATTTATGCATACAATAACTGGGGTACAGGCCAGAGTTGTGGGGGCAATGAGAAGATTTACCAGAGCCAGAGTGCGGAACAGAACAGGCAGACTTACTGCAATACACTGTTGAGGGGAACAGCGAGCGAGACAGGAGAGATCTGGCCAGGGAACGAACTCACGCTACAGTGACTGCGGAGAGCTTCAAAGTTTGCGTCTTAACCCCTTGCGCCACCAGGGAGGCCCTGCAGTTAAGTCTTGTTATTAAGTCCCTTTTAAGCATGGGTGAGGACCCACAGTCAGGCAACCCATTTCGTAATGGGATTTCCCTGTACCAGTAGGACTGAAGTACTAGGGAGTGACAGATAGAGGGAGTGACAGAGTTTATCTATCCCATTCACTTAGATAGAGTATGTCTATCTTCCACATACTTACATATTTACCTTAGGTTTTGTATCCTAGTATGGATTCTAGATATGACACGTCAGTGTCCTACTTTTCTGATGATCAAGTTTAAAACAGACTGAATCTGAAGGATTTCAACTGTAGAGATTGAACTCCTGCCACTCACTTGCCATTCAGCCAGGTCCAGTGTCTCTTTCATAAGACTTTGTTTCTACTTTGGTTGGAGACCTGTTATATTATCATGTATCTCTTATCTTTCCCACTTGATTGTGAGCCTGAGAATATGTTAAAGACCACAAAGTTTCTCATTCCTCAGGTCCTGTAGTGCCTCAGCAACATTTTTATCCCTCCAGTTAGTGGTAGCTCAAAAAGACTTATTCTTCTAGTAATTGCTTAATAAATATTTGTTGGAATAAATGAATGAAATGCTGACACTTTCTGGCCCACTAAAGACCATGAGCTGAATCAGATGTATTTTAAATATACAATCCTGAACAAGGAGATCTTAGTGAAAATATAGTAGATCTCCAAAGCAGATAGCCTGTAGAAAAGGATGGGGGAGAGAGCCTAGTGTGGTCCCTCAGGGTAGTGAAAAGAGGAGCTTCCCTTGGGAGGCGGCCATTCATCCAGTGTCTCAGTTTCACCACTGTTTCTCTGTGGTTTCTTCTACTTTCTCAGGATTCTGAATGTTCTCATCAAGAGAACACAGATCCCTTGAAAGTGTAGGTTCTGCCTTGTGGTTTATGAGCTAGTATCATGATGTCACAGCCACAAGGCACCCAGAGTGCTTTTCCTGACTCCAAGTAGGCAAACTAGACAGGGCTTCTAGCAAGTGAAACTACTTTTGTGTAAATATTTGGTATCGGTTTTAAGATTTCTCTGACAGACCAAGTGGTAGAAATCTGTGTGTATATACAGAATGCTTCCTTCCTTCTTTTGCTGTACGTGTGGTGTTACTTTTCCTATAGAAGTAAACTCTGCTTTGAGCCATTTCTTGCTTGGGAATTGGGCTTTTCCTTTGATTTTCTCTCAAAGAAGGCCTGCTGAGGAGGGGCAGAGAGAACCCAAAACATACCTTTTCCCAGGTTGCCTGCCTGCCTTTCAGGTAGGGCTGGGGTATAACCCTTTGTTTTAGTATCAGAGAATTCATCTGGATGGTGAAAAATGGCCTCTCTGGATTTTCATGCCTAACAGGAAATTTTAGATATAACCTTGTTACTGAAGTTGCAACAAAATTCCTTCAATTCCTAAAGTGTAGTAGGGAAGAGCAAAGTTCTGTATGTGTGTGCGCGCGCACACACACACACTTTATATACATAATGCGCTCTGTATTTATATATGCAGTATAGAGACATACATTCTGTCTGCAGACTATGTATACGCACATTTTCATAAACCAACAAGCTAAAAGCAGGAAAGTGCATTTTATAAACACATACACATGTTAGGATACGTGTGTGTACATAACACAAACTAGACTATCGGCAGTGCAGTTCATGACATTTTCCCTAGACAGATCCTGTGCTCCCTTAACTGATGGTAAACTAATTTTAGATAAACCCACCATAGAGTTTTTAAACAGCGCTGAGGCTCTGTCCTTAAAAGCCCAGAGAGAATTTCTTTTGCTACTCTTGAAGAATCCTGTGATGTGCCCAAATCCTGCAGAGGGGGCATTCCAAAACCATTTAACTTTACTAAAAGTGTGAAATGTCTGCAAGTTCTCTGATCTGTCAAGGAGACCAATTCTAAAAGAAGGATCGCTTTTTCTCCCCGGCGGGATCCAGATCCCCGAGTGCTGGTGAACAGACTTTGTGTACAATGAACGACAGAAAAAATTGCAGAAAGAAATAAGAGAAAAGGAAAAGTAGCGAGCGCGGAGGGCAGCCGCGGGCGCCCGGCCGGCACGTGACCGGGGGCGGGGCCTCGCGGGCCGCCAGCCAGTGGACGGGCCCGGGGGCGGGGCCAAGGTCCGGGGGCGGGGCCTGAGCCCGCGCAGCTTGCGCCGCGGTCCCCTTATTTGGATCTGCGGGAATGTGGGCTGGAGCGGTGCTGCCGCGGTACCAGCCTCCAGCCTGTCGCCCGGACTGCCCCTGACCCAGGAGCGCCCACTGCGCGGTGGCTGGAGGGCCGGCGGAGCGCCATGGCCTGCATCCTGAAGGTAACGGCTCGGAGCTCTGGCTCGGACGCGTGGTTGGCCAGCCCCTGGCTGCTCCGAGGCGCGGAGTCAGCCGCGGTCCCACCGCATCCTCATCTCAGTTGTCTTTCCTGGCATTGATTTTCTTTTTGTTCCTTTGGCAAATGCATATGGAGGGAGACTCTGAAACATGCAGCTGGCACAGCTTCTCTTCCCACCATTCCTGCCTGCTCGAGCCTGCATTGAAGGAGCTGCAGACTGTTGGCTCCAGGGGAAAGCAGGGCTGTGTGTTGAATAATGGGGATGGCAGGGAGAGGAGGGGTACTCCCGTGGGTCCCGCGATTCTGTTGCTGAGGCCTTTCAGGGGCCTCGGAGAGAGGGGTGGCTGGGCATTGGGTCTCGGTGGTGCAGGGCACAGCACTTGGAATGGGGCTAAGAGTGAGCACAGGAGGTTCTGCTGAGCATTGTTCATGTGAAGACAAACTTCTGAGTTTACAGGTAGTCCCTTAGGAGTGAGTTTTCTGTGCCGTCTGCAAGCTCTATGTGCCATTAGCTCTACTTTGGAAAAGTTCACAGAAGGATGTGTTTATCAGTAGAGAATCTTGGACCCTCCTTGTGCTTATACATTTGAACAGACAAAATGTTTTTACTCCCTACCAGAGTTTTCTCAAACCATCCCTTCTTTGCAGACTTTCTCCAAGTCTGGGTACATAGCCTCGACTGAGCATCTTTCCAAGTTTGTAACCTTGTGGCATCAGTGGAGAGGACTTGATGTGAGTGCCTCACTTGATAACTTTTAATTGCCTAGGAAGAGGATTTTAGTTACTGTTTTTATACACTACTGTTTTTTTTAATCGCTGCTTAACCGAACACTCCTGACTGCATGAATCAAACACAGTCGCAGTATGAAGGTTTTCTGGGCCTTGCCTGGATAATGCAAAGGCCTATTTGTTCCAAACATGGGGGAGCATTGTGTGGCCAAGGACAACCCAGAAAACAATTTTTTTGTTGTGTTATTATGAAATAGCACTTGTTTCTCTGCAGGATGACTTGAAGTCCTCTGCCCCAGTACTAGGTACCCGAATCATCCTCTAACATGCCCTGTGTTATTGTCAATGCTGCAAATATGAGACCAATCTAGAATTTGTTTCCATTTTTTAGAGGAAAAGAGATCAGATATTTCCCCTGACTTTTCTGAACTTTCTCTGTGTGGTTGTGTAATATAGCTAATGGTAGCAAGATCTGGAGGAAATAATACATTGGTACTGCCTTATGGGGTTATTAAACTTGGGGAATCTTAGCATGAGGACTGAAATATAAATGTAATTCATTCTACTTTTTATTATATTATTAGCTGAAATGGAAATACTGTCTTTCTGCCTTCTCCCCTGCCTCAGGTTCCAAACATTTTAAATGCACCTCCTAAGCTATATGTGAATCTAATCCAGTTAACCTCAGACATTTAGGGCATATCTTAGTCCTCCTTATCTCTCCTCCATTGAATTAATCTGAAATTCACACAGGTAAACTGCTGTGCAATTTTATCAAAGACTATGAACTCAGAAAGACCTTCTTTGAATGCTGGTTCCATCAGTTGCCACCTGTATGACCTTGGACAAGTTACTGAAATGTCTCTGAGTCTCAATTTCCTCCATACAAAGTAGTGGCACTTATTCCATGGGGTTGCTGTGGAAATGAAATAATATAAGGTATGAAAAATGCTTTGTGGTACAACCATTTAATATGTGCTTTTTTATTCTGACATATAGTAACTGTGGTTAATTAATTTCATAGAATACTTTTATTCTTACATCAAACACTGTAAGGTGGGTATCATTGTTTAAAAGCCCACTTTACACAAGAGGAAGCTGAGGCTCTAAAGTTTGAGAGATTTACCCCAGGCAACAGGCTTAATGAGAGAATAAGCCTGCATTTAGAACCAGATCAGCCAACCTTCTTTATACTTTAAAGCTCTTCCCTATACTGTCCTAGGTGATGACTTTCTAAGATGTCTTCATACTGTCAGAGTCCTTACTTCTTTTGAGAAACAAAGTATCTGTTAGGCCATGATGGTCTGGATTGTGGTGGTCTTTTCCCCTTGCTCTCTTTGAAAGACCACACCAAGGAGTGGAGAGTCTGGAAATCTGGATTCAGTGCAAGCTTGGCCCCCTGTCTGCAATTTTAGGCAGTTACTGCTACTTGAAACCTTGATTTCCCCAAGTTGTAGAATGCAGATAATTATAACTGCCTGATAGAGTTTTGCAGGGGTAAAATGATGATTTTTTTTTTTTTAATGAAACCTCTTCCACCATATGTCAACTCTGAACTTGGTGTTGGCATTCCAAGATGTATAAACTATTGACTCCATTCTCAAGTGACTTACAGTTTCATCAAGGGGATTAAAAAGTAAGTGAATATTCATGTTACAATGTGGAGAATAACATAGGTCTGTGGTAGACATAGCAGCATAGGGTGACAGGGAGAGCAGTAAACTCTTATCCAGTAATCAAGACAGACTCCCCATTTAGGAATGGATCTGGGTTTTAAAGATTGAATAGGATTTACTGTGATGGATGTTGTATATTAGAAACATAACTTTTTTTAATTATACTTTTTAATTTTCTTATATTGTTGTTCATTTTTATACAATATTTGATTTCTCTCCTCAGGTGTAGTCCCCATATTTCTCCAACCACTACAGCACCCAAGAACCATCAACATAGTCCCTTGTGCTCTTCCCCCCACCCTATTTTGACTCCTCTCCCTCCCCTTCCTCTGCTGTGTGCCTCAGATCTGTAATTTGCCTGCAAGTGTTGTCAGGTTTTTTGTTTTTTTTTTGATCCTTAGAAAGATAACTTTTGAGGTAGCATCAGGTTTATTCTGTATTGGTGAAAACTAATCTTAACAGATTTTTGAGGTATATTTTAATTTCCATCTTATAAGGAGAAAACTGAGGTAATGTTGCCTACACATTAGAGATCCTAATTGTGAGAATCTCTGACTAGCTCAAAGAAGAAACCCATTACATGCAGTTAATGTCAGTCTTGGGGCTAAATAGAACTATCCCTCAAGGTATTGTGCTTGGTGAGGGCTCTATTGCTCATGCATAGAACTGACTCTTGTAACTGAATGATGATTATTACTTCAGGAATCATTTACTTGTGGAATACACACTCCATATTGCATTGGCTTTGAAGCCCGAAATAAGTGGGTTTTAATTATGACTCTATCACCTGCTAATTTTATAATCATCAGTCAAGTTTTTTATTTCACGGCTCTAGTTTCTGAAATGGGGATGGTCATGGCTTCCTCAGTGGGTTATTCTAGGGGTTAAATGAAAATATCTTTATATGAGTAAGGATAGGATAATTATACCAAAGTAAAGAACACCCCAATTTTCGTAGGGTCATGTCTTCCTGCTCTCCTGGCTGGGCAGCTCTGCTGTGCCATCAGTGTGTCAAGGAACAGTCTCTTTCCATGAGGTGTTTTAAAAGTGTTTGGTAGACAGGAAATGTATTTAATTTTTATTTATTTGACTACAAGTGTAGTAAAACTTTTAAATTTATATTAGCCATTTGTTTTCCTGTTTTGCATATATAGATCCCTTTAATATTTTCTTTTATTGGTTCTACCCATTGTTCAATAGGTACTCTTTTGAGTACAGTATCTTTTTTTAAAGATTTATTTATTTTTATTTATTTATACAAGCACTGGGGTACAAGCCAGAGGTGCAGGAGGATGAGAAAATTCACCAGAGACAGAGCAGAGAGCAGAACAGGCAGAAGGACCAAAATACACTGCTGAGGGGAGCAGCAGGGGCGAGACAGGAGACAGGAGACATTTGCTTTGCCATGTGGGTAGCTCCCTGGCCGGCCAGGAATTGAACCGGCACTTCAGAGGCTGCAGACAGCTTCACAGCGCTGCACTCAACCCGCTGTACCACCAGGGAGACCCTTGAGTACAGTATCTTGCAAACTTCTGATACTCAAGAAAAAATTGGTGAGATGTCTCAGTTTTCTTTGTATCTGTCATTGAAGTGGACATAAGACACATATGAATCATATCTGCCTTGGAGAAGACTAGTTTTTCCAGGTTCGTGAGCCTTATGAACTTGAAGCACTGAGACAGTACCACAATAGATGTATGACTTAGCTACTCTTAACCTTTCTACCTGGTCTCAGATAATATTTATCTTGAGTGATGGGAAATTGGGTGACTGGTGATACTCAGTTATTAGCTTGATGTCTTCTCATTTACTCTTCCTACTTCCTTCTCCAGACTTACTCATCATCATGTTGTATCGATTCTATCTCAGGAAAATATTTCAGATCAGTCCATTCTCCATTGTGTCTTGCCCAGAGCCTAATATTTGGTCTGTCTTTTGAAATAGCCTCCTTTTTTTTTTTTTTAAGATTTATTTATTTATTTAAACAAGCCATGGGGACAGTCAGAAGCGTGGGAGGGTGAGAGAGTTCACCAGAGCCAGAGTGGGGAGCAGAACAGCAGACTGACGAAGTACACTGCTGAGGGGAGCAGTGAGCATGGCAGGAGAGGTCTGTGCGCCATGTGGGACCCTCGCCCGCCCAGTGGCCGGGGATCGAACCAGTGCTGCAGAGGCTGCGGGCAGTTTTGCACCCCAGGGCTCAACCGCTGCGCCACCGGGGAGGCCCGAAATAGCCTCCTTTTCTTTAGACTTCTCACAATCTTGCCCATCTGCCAATCACTCTCAGAGTACTGTGCTGAAGTGCAGTGCCAGTCAAGCGATTGTATTGAATGGATTTAGGTACTTGTCTTGGCTTCCCATCCTGGGGAGAAAAGCCCAACCGTTTAGCTTGGCATTCAAGTTCCCTTAGAATCTGGTTCTTATCCACACATCTGGCCTCACCACTTACTACTCCCTCACCTATGCTGTAGACACTTACCTAAACATATGCAAGCTTGTAGATTGCCTGTCATGGCTTGGCACCATTATAGTATAGAATAGGGATTGAGAAGCTGGACTCTGATGTCAGATCATCCTATTGAAGCAGTGAAATCATTAAGCCTCTGTTTCCTCATCTATGAAATGGAGACAAAAATAGGAAGTATTTCTTACTGCAACAGTACTTCCTGTTTCTTGAGGTTATATGGCACAAATGAACATATTTCTATAAAACAGAACCTGACATATAAGTCCTTGATAATTATTAGCTATTAGTTGTTATTGTCTATGCTCATTTCTCTGCAGGAAATTCCCTCTGCTATCACTTTTCCGTCACTGATACAACTCCTGGTTCAAGGTCACTTCTGTGGTCAAGACTTCCCCTGCTTCGGCTGGCTTCTTCTGTGTTTTCATGGCCTTAGTTCTTGTCTCACTAGCAGCAGATATTACTCTGTACTCTCAATTAGCTGTTTACCTGCCCAGCTCATTTATTTGACTGAATTCATAAATGGCAGGGACCTTCCGTAGGTCGATCAACTACTGTTCTTATCCATGGTGAGATTACAAACTCATTAGAATGGCAAATATTAAACAAATAGCTTAAAATAATCAGAGTATTTTTAAAGGTATATCTAGTGGTGTGGAGAGCATTAAGTTGGGGATGTTGCTGGTTATTCAGTTGACTGTTGGGGACAAAAAAGCCTTGCCTTATTCAACTTGGCATAAGAACTAGCTTGGTTTTTAATGAAGTGTTCCTTAAATGTTTGTTAAGTGTACGTATGATGATATTTAATTTTTTTTGGAGATATCAGTTATAGACATGGGCCTAACCTGTCCTCTGTAAGCATTGTA